CAGAAAAATGTAATGAATTGGGTGAAATGTTTTTTTTTGTTTTTTTTTTTGGCTTCCCTGTTTGTTTGGCTTTCCTGTTCTGTTGGGATAATTTTGTACTTGCTCGGTCTTTGTACTGTACAATATTTGTATTAGACTTTGTAATTGCTTGTCTGTTTGGTTTGACTTAATAAAAAAATAAAATAAATAAAAATCTTGTAAACTGCTTGTAGTTTGGCGTGGGGTGTGTAGCTAGATCATATTCCAATCACTGACTCAAATAGTCTATATTTTATTTCTTTATAATGATCACAAGTATGTGTAGCTACATCTTCGATGGGCACTGATCATTTTTAAATCTTAAATATTGCACATTATACACTGTAGACAAGAATTAATTGGATGTTGTAGTTTTGCGTGTGTTGCTGCTAACCTGGTACATCTGGTTGGTAGTGAATGTAATGGCATTTCGGCTCGTGTGCGGGCTGGGAGGAGTAGTGTCCTTGTGCTTCCCACAGTCCCACTGCTCAGTGGTGCTTCCTGTGGATACCACAATACTGGTGATATTATCCGTTCCTCTGTCGGTGAGTACTGCTAGCATTTCTCCGTCCTTTCCAGCTGGAAGGACATATTTGATAATACCGAGCTTTAACTATTTGACGTAACATTAGCGTACATATTTAGCCTAGTTTAACGGTAACGTTTCTCTTAGTGAACAACAACACGGCGAGGGTATTGTGTTGCACTATTTTCAGTATCTCTTTACTCAGAAAATGAGTGCAATTCGTTAATGTTTGTGTCTTGAATCCGTTTGACGTTATATAATTAGAATTACTTTTGGTTGCGTCGCAGAAAAAGGGCCTAGACGATTCCCCGTGTGCCTGGTTGTGAGCAGATATCTGGAACAGCTAACATTGCTGCTAACTCTAAGGCCGCTGCTAACATTAACTTAGCTTTTGTAGCATAAAGTCAGCATTTGTAGTTTTTTGTTTGTTTTTCATTCGGGTGACTGACAAACCTTAGAGCAAAATTTGACAGTTTTGAAATGCAACGACGCTGAAGTTAAATTACAATTCATAACCTAGGATTCAGCAGTCAATGTGTTAAGAAAAGCTGAAGTTACGTTAGAGAAAAGAAAAATATTAGTCTTCAAATACTTGCGCATCTAGCAGCAGTAACTGCACAGACAATGGAAAAGAGCAACAGGGTTCAGGGCCACAGCTCCCAGTTAGTCTAGTACAAACACCAATCAGGTCTGACAGCATAGGTGGGCAAAAGGGCGTATTGATCTTGGGTTATTCAGCTCTGAGTTCTTTCAAACATACAAGGCTGATTAGCTTACATACACTGCGATCAAGTGAGCCGCCGTTCGCTTTTGCATGGTCAAATGAGCCGCATCTAAATTTACGGCAACCACGGAGAAATGGCTGCAGGACTGCTTGCAGTGAATATAGAATGCTTAATGAAATATTTCCTCATATATTTAGCATGGTTCCCACGCGTCTTGGGAAAACCTGGAATTTTTAAAGCATGTTTTCCATTCATGGACATTGAGATAAATTGTACAGTTCTCTGGGAAAACACTTTGATCCTGGAAAATAATTTTCACATTTATGTTTTTTTTTTTTTTTGTATGAGCTGACATCTGAAGTTAGGGCAATGTGTGGGAAACTTTGAATGGCAAGGGTAGAAGTTCATGGCTTCATGGTTTTTAGTAATGTTTTTGTACACTTTGAATACCTTAAGCCATTGGCTTTTAAATGCACCAAGTCACCTCAGGTTCAGACGGTGTGAATAAAGCAAACTTCGCCAGTTATAATCACAATAGAATGTAGCCAGACAAGCAAGAAATGTAAATAGCTTGATTAGTTGAAATGCAAAATTAATAACTATTGGCTAGGAATTAGTTTTACCTTTAAACACTTTACGATTTATTGCTCCACCACTTCTAGATTTATTGTTCAACATTAGAGTCGGCTGGCTTTTTAACAAAACGCGATCAGAAATAGAAATAGACATTCAGCCGGACTAAGCCAAGAGCCTTTCTCGCAGGACATGGTATATTTGAGGGTCAGTACTCCTGAAGATATAATAAGTAAATCATTCAAGGTTATATTTTCAGTTAATTTGGTTAGATCTAACATCTATATAAATGAAGATTACACCGAGGCTGTGAGGAAGAGAAGAAAGGAGTTGATGCCGAAGTTAAGGGAGGCCAGGGAGAAAGGAGACATCGCGTTTCTGAGATATGACCGACTAGTGATCCGTCCTCAGAACCTGGGACCAGGACCCAAGTCCAGCACGCCAAGGACCAGCATGCTGAGACAAGGAGTGGGAGGAGGGGCCGCTAGACCCTCGGCTGTATGGGAGAAATACGGAGTATAAAGAAACACGCAGGTGTATTGATATCGGCGATGGCAGATGAGTGTTGAATCTACAACACCAAGCATGACCCATGTACTGAATGAGGCAAGTGATTTGTCACAGAAGTTAAAAGTTTTCGAC